GCCCACTTCCCAAGCCTTTCACAGTCCACTTGCAGCTTCGGGCTGTACCACGGGGGGTTCGACACCAGCTCCTGTGGGCAGAGACGCCCCAGAAGGAGCAGTGGACCATCGGAAGCTTTACCTGACTGACTGGCTTCACAAGAATGAGAGGGATCCAGGCTGACCCAGGTTTTGGATCCAATCTGAGTAGACCCCTCATAAGACCGATGCGCATCACATAGGAATAGGAACAGCTGTTTTGGTTCTTGCGACATGGCTCGCCCCGGCGTTTCTCGGTGTGTGTGTGTGCCCCTTGTAGTCACAGGGATCCTTTCGGATTGGATTTGTTTTGTTTTCTTTTAGCAGAGCAGGGGTCAGTAGCCCACTCATGAGTCTACTGCCAACGAAGCTGCTCATGAGTTGGGAGGATATCGGAGTTGATCACTCCGACGTACCTGCTTGGTTGTGGCGTTGACCAGCTTTCACTCCAATCTTCTGGTAAAGGGCTAGTGAGTTCTGCAGACGTGCACGCACGCCGTCATCTTGTCGCTCCGAACTCGTCGAGTTGGTACTTGCGCTTTGGGCCTCACTTCCTTTTGAAGATCCCCAGGTTCCTTAGGGCTTTCCTGGACCTTTCAGGATTTGGGTTTCTTAGGCTGGCGTGTGGCATGTGGCATTCAGTTCCGTACACCAAATCATGAGTGTGTATTTTTCCCACCTCCGTTTGCGGCTCAGATGATGAGAGCAGGATCGGGAGTTATAAACTTGCCACATGCCCAAATGAGCCGATGTCCCAAGCAGTGGGATACAATACAGTCCCTGTGTGGCTGCATGGACTACTTAGAGAAAGGATGTCTCTCCATGCTTTGCCAGCTTCACAATCCTGCTCAAGGTTTCTTTGGAAACACCTCCTTTAGCTCGGGCTAGCAAAAGGGTGACGAACACCACTGTCGCAAGCCACCGTCGGCACTGAACAAAACAAGCCGGCCTCTTAAAGATTCCATTGGAAACGCCTGGGGCCATGGACTTCAGCAACACCTCCAATGAAAGCTTCACACTTTTTGGCACCTTCGACGCCTCGAGTTCTGCCGAAGATGCACAAAGAGAGGAAGACGCGCCTCGGTCGTCAAAATAGGCGCGCGGCGCACTTCGGCGCATGGGACATTCCCGCGGGACTGGAATACTTTGCTAGACATATGCTGCAAATAGATCTTCAGTCCGGCACTTTTACTTTTTTTGGCGCCTGACACCTGACTTCCAACTCCAGTTTTTTTCAGGATTTAGTCCGGGAGTTGTTGTTCGTCTGAAAGTTATTTCCCCCACGGAAAATGACTCATCCATGGCAACTCTTCTATTCCTATATGAAGTGTTTAGGCTAGATCCTTACTGATTGAAGGGCGGGGCACCCCAAGCACCTCACGCATCCTCGTAATAGCGCACATTTCAGTTTCCTCCCCCAGCATCATCCCTGCGTGGCAGTCGCACTTGAACGTCGCTTCACCCTGCAGGTTTCTGTCTTCGACACCTCAAAGCAAAATATATGGTTTTTCAGGGTCCACCGATAAGTAAGGAGTTACGACAGGGTTTATGTCCAATTGGATGCTGAAGGATGCTGAAGGACCTTCCCACTCTTTTGGCGGAAATCAGTACCATCCGTATTTTCCTTCCCTCAGCTCTAAGTAACCTCAGAAAATGGGACATGTGACACGACCCTGGTTAAGAAATGCAGGTACGACTGTACCATTTTCTGCGCCCATAGATTTGAGGGAGCTGCCGACTGGATGATTTCAGGGAGCGCCCCACTGAGCCGAGGACGACTTTCACCTCACCCAGCGAGTCGCGGAGGCGGTGGCGCGGATGCAGCTCGTCCGTCCGGAGGCGGCGAGTGGGGAAGAAGGAGACGTCCGTCCGTCAAGTGGTGTGACCACATGAAGCACTCCAAACAGGGTCCACGTGAGGCGAAGATATTTTTTCTGCGGTTCTTTTCTGCATGAGTCAGAGGCGAAGAGATTAATATATATATATATATATTATCATTTATTACACATATATGGATATATAGTAGATGTTTTGGCCTGGGGTCTTCTTCTTGACGTAGATTGCACCAAGATGCACAATCTCTGACACATCAGGGTTTCGTCCAACATGTGCCAATTGAATTACTGAACCTTCAATCGTAGCACTTTTTTTTCTGGCGAGCCAAGGAATTAGACATGTTTGGAGTTTCGTAGCGTTTTTTGATGAAACGAGCACTTTTTAATGCTTTTGATGAAACGCGCATGTTTTCAAAATGTTGAACACTGAAGTCTTCTTGGGCCAAAAAGGTGGAAACCCGCAAAATGTGCGCAAAATGCTGCAAAACGTGCGTCAATTTAAAGAATGGCGAACCACCCCAACATGGGTTGGATATATGAGACGGATCCATGTACACTTTTTGAGTGTTTGTAGCGTTTGTTTTGCTTGAACGAGCACTTTTGCAAAACGAGCGCTTTTTTTTTTGTAGCGAATGAAGCTTCAGGTTAATTTGACACGTTGCTGCCAACAGGAGTAAACCGTAACAAGCATGTTACATGTTGCACCACACTGCGTAATGCATGCATAAAGTAGCCTGCCAAGCATCAGGTAGAACCAGGTGGAACCAACCTGTTGCAGCTGTACAAGTCTCCCTCGATCAGACAATCATAGAAGCTGAGCGTGAAAATGGCCTTCCAGAGGTTTGCGCTCCATGATTGTTGGAGGGTCGTTTCATATGACAGGACCCCGGCGAGAAAGGGAATATTTTACCGATTGAATCCTCGGACCACGTCGACTGACTATTTCACTGATTCCTCTCACAAAAAAAACATGTTTCCTTGCGCACCAAGTGGGCCGCCAACACCCTTCCTTTGACCTTGCGGTCGACTTGGTTCCACTATAGGACTAACTGACTTGGTGTGATCCTTTTTGGTGGACTTGGGACCATTTTCCGATCCGAGAATCAGGAGATGTTTTCCTCAACACTCTACTGATGCTTATAGATACATGCCCAATCAGATAAATGATGGGGGTAGTACCGCAATTGCTGCAAGTGTTTTCGCGTTGGACACACCAAGAGCTGGTTCTACAAGACTTGTAAAACTTGTATTTTCTAGGCCAGACTGTGGGGGTGCTGCAAAAGGCTCAGCATTCCCACGCTTCGAGAGCTAACTTTGATGTATTGATGGCAGTCATCTCCAATGCTATCAATGTGGGACTGCTATTTATGGCAGTCACCCAACGCCAGCTGAAATGGATACGCTTCCGCAATCCACGTCCCAAAGAAAGCCTCAACGTCCCACATTGGCCCGGAAACTGCATCTGTGTTTATCGTACTCAACTCCTTTTCTCATGGCAACAGCAACAAATAGATACAAATAGAACTTGTTCCAGTGTGTTTGATTTGGAGTTGCGCATACGATTACAAAGAAACTACACAAATACAAAAAACATCAAAAACAAACACATACATGAAAGGCAATGGAGCGCGGACAACAGCGCAATGATGTTGCTGTAATATGCATGACAGTGCAGTAAATAGCACTGGAGATTCGATTGAGGATGTGTTGAGAATGAACACATTTACTATACATAATGTATTTTTGATGATGGCACTGTAACGTATAAGTGAGCATACACCCAACCTTCAAGCAAAGAACACATTTGCTGGCTTTAGAGTGAACTCCTACGAACTAACCCCGCGGTGGAAAGTGTTGCGCAAAGACTGCATTCCTTTGCCGGTGAATTGTCCGGTTTACATGGGCTCGACATCGAAACTGGTGGAGTGCACAACATCATTTTCTTAACCAAGGACTTGAAAGATTGATCCGGCTGTGGGTCATGGCGCCCGGAGCCCACACTCACCAGGTAGGTTGACCGAAACCAGGTAATGTCAAGTCCTGATTAATAAACCCTCCCCCCCACATGGTAGGTCAACAATGCCAAGAAGATATGAGATACCAGTCATGAGGTCCACCTCCCCTGAATAATGTGTTATGAGACCATAGGACCATGAAGGATGATACCAGGCTTTGAGGGGATGAGCTGATGAGCATGAGGCCAGTGTCCATATAGGAAGCAATGAGTTCATAGGAACCAAGGCATGAGAGGAATTGGCTGGTAACATTTGCGCTGGTTGTAGTAGTAGGTGGTAGGTAGTAGGTAGTAGGTAGTAGGTAGTAGGTAGTAGGTAGTAGG